CTAGATCTTACATTTGAATTTTGTTTTCTCGTAATTTTCTTTTCAATTAATTTATTTTCCCATTGAAATGCGAGGGACTTATTTTATTGATAACTTAACATTTTCATTCCTACAGATGGCAAAAAATATGTAATGCCTTCAATGACTTCGACAAATTATCTCCCACAAATAAAAGTAATGTATACACATGTGTCCTCATAAAAATATAACTATCAATTTATGACATGCTCACTATAACATATTACATATAAAAGATAATATATTTTATATATAATGGAATTTTCATAATTTTTTTGTTGAACTTCTCAGAAAATCTTCTAAAATTGAATTGTCATAATGATTAATACACTGAACATTTCAGAATTGGTGAGTCTTGTTGTTGCATGTCCCTCTTTCATACTTTTAATTCCCACTTTTCATCCTATAACATTGCTAATAACACGGCAATTTTCATTTCCTGTGTGTAATTTTAAGCTGATTAAATTAGTCTCCTTCAAGTCTCCAATCACATTTTCAAATCACTTTCAAACTCACCTCTTGAACATTTTTCATCAATGAAGTTGCCTCTGCATCCCCCTATACACGAACCGTTGCTTCTGAGACAGGATCCATTTAGACAGTTTGAGCTGCATTGTTGATCACAGTCATGACCAAAATAATCCGACCTACATTCTATATACATGTATAAATTATAAGAACCATTCAATTATCTGTAAGTACATGTAACTATTTTTAAGCAATGCTTTTTTTTTATTAAGGTAATGTTTGCGCCTCCCTCCAACTCATATTTTTTTAAATATGCACACATGCTATATATCAATTTATTCAGGGAGATTAGCTTCATCATTTAATATAATTTTCAAAGATATTGCCCGTCCCATTTTTTTAGTAAATAACGCCAAATTTAACGTATTTCATATTTCACCTTGAATATTATTTTCATTGAAAAAATTGATTTATTTTATATATTATCAAACTTTTATAATTAAAATGACCTGAATTAGTATCATTCATGCTTCTATCATTTAAACTTTTAATTTTCCGTTATCAAAAATGTGAAAATTTGGGTAAAAAAGAAGATTTTTCAATTTTTCTTCATAAAGTGAAACCGTTGCCATGGCAACAAAAATATAAAAATCAACGTTTTACATATCTACCGATTCCATCAAAATCCATGAAGTTATAAATTTGATCATTTTCATTAATTTGAACTAAAAAAAATGTATATGTCCCCAATATTATTTCCATGGAAACAGGGGCTATATTATGGGTTCGGAACATAAAAATCAGGCTTTTTCTACATTTTTAAAGACAACATTGATACATGTATCACCTTGTCATGGTGAATGTTAAAGACTAAATGTTATTTTTGATATTGTGTTTAGGCATAAATTGGCCAAAAATATTCAAAATAATACTCCTCCTGTGCTACATGATGGTCTAAAAATTTATTCCACGGAAGAACTCTAGTATTTATGGCAATCTTGGCATCTGAATATTCTGATGAAATTGTCCATAAATTATACTGCAACACCTTTAGAAGTACATATGTATATAAACATACTTCAGAACATGTTGCAACTAAACCAATTAAAAACCTATGAATCTGACCTCATGCTGATTTAGTTATTCCAACATGTAGTAACTTCTAGACATCTTTGTAGCAAAATATCTTTATTCAGTTATGGCTGGTGACGTACATGTATGCCATTTTTTGAGTGAAATGTTGTAAGCATTGCATCCACGAAGCTGATGTTTTTATAATTAAATGATTTCTTTACTTCGAAGAGTAGAAATGATATCTTTAAAGTAATGTTTGTTTGCCCTCCCTTGACTCAGGGTAAAATTATTGGGTCGGTAGGTGAGAAAATCTTCAAAAACATTTTTTTAAGGGGGATAAGTGGAATAAAAAGAAAAAATACAGCCCTGCATTGAAAAAAGTTTTCAGACTGGTCATTTTAGTCAGTCGGTCTGGAGAGGCCGACAACCAAACATTTTTTAAAGATGGCCTATTTCTACACTTCATGGACATTAGCTCAATCATTGGATTAGGTAGTCTGAGAATCTAAATTGAAATATCAGACAGAACACAATAAAGATGAATTCTAAGTGACATCAATTCACACTTTAATGAGTTTACAGAGTACTTCTGATTTCAGAGAAAAGGCAAATTCTGCAAAATGACATAACACTGTGATAAATATTTGTCAAGAACAGGGAAAAAGAAACAATGCTACAGTAATAGATATATCTCCTTGATATCCATGAAATAATAATTTAAATATAACAAAATTTTCTCCTTTTTAAAATCAAAATACAGAAAAAAAATTAAAAGATTATAAATGTAAACAATATTAAAACAAACTAAATGTATTTGTGAAAGATTTTAATTTTAGTAGATTACTAAACAGGACTTATCATTCCCACTAAATTAACAACCTTACAATTTCCAAGTGTCATGTTTTAAAGTGTTACAGTAGATATAATTATACATGTTTACTGCAGCTTTATGTACAAAACTCATCAGTTTTCAGAAATACTTATTTGAGCATATTAGGTCCTGGTAAGAACAAAATTTAATGAATAAAAATATAAATCTTAATTGTTCATGTATTAATTTCCTTGCAATTTTACAAACCCTTTTAAGAAACTTGTTACATGTAAGTATAGACAAAAGCAACCTTCATAATACCTATGATGTATACATTTATTTTACTGAAAACAAATTCAAAGATGGACAAACAGAGCATGCACTGCAATCATCACATACACATATTTTCTAAATATATGGAAAACAGCATGTATATACTAGATAGGATGTTGTTAAACATTAAATTTTCTTCTATAATCTATAGACGTATAACAATATGCATTGGGTATAACAAGTAAGAAGTTCTTCTCCAAATCTCCATTGATTTTGTCATGTCTGGTTCAACATCTTAGCTTGATCCATCCAACTTTCTTTAATATTCTTGAGCTGATAGGGGATGACCTCTACTTTGATTGATGGCACAGATCTTTTAAGGAAACACTGAAGTACTTTTTTTTGGTTCTTATCTATTCCAGTTAATGACCCATGATCTGGAATCATATGTGTTCATTTTTACAATAACATTTAAGGAATTGCATAAGGAATTGCACTGAGTTTCATTCACTCAATGAAATGAATAAATTTCCAATATAATCAATGAAGAATCAATATGAAATTATTGTAAAATTTACAGATTGAATTAGTGTCAAATGCAAATGCTTGATCAAGAAAATTAATGTTGAAGTCTTTTCATGCACAATCTGTATCTTTTTATTACTTAGAAAATGAGATATTAATTAAAATCAAACCTCATTTAAAAAGGTAACTTGAACAATTGAATACCTGTTCCAATGATGTTACAAATATTAGGCCTAAAAAGCTAGGATTTTATTTTTCATAATTTCTTGAATGAATGCATTTTTATTTTTTGGCAATGTTGGGATATTAGTCACATCCTTTATTCATCGTTTTTAAATCCGTAGTCAGTAGATCATTCATAACTTTCAGTAAAATGAATAGTTAAATAATTACCTGATGAAAATACAATCAACAATCAAACTGTCAACATCATCATTGGACATGGTCAAATGCACCGTGACTTTTCTTCCCTGTTCGGACTGCATATAGCATAATACTTTACAGGATACTCTCAGGTCTTTTCTTTTTTCTTTCCCATTCTCACTTAAATTTTAGTGTAGTGGTGAAGCGAGAAACACACAACAGCACAATGCGTCAATGACTTTCTTCTGATCGGAATGGCCGTGCAACTTGCCACGTTCCGTATCGAAAATAAACAAGTCCTCCTTTATTGGTTCATTCACATGCATCACACTAATCTTAAAGGCTTCTAAGATTCCTATGCTTTGATTTGTTATAAGACTTTCTCCTGAAAACGTCCTTTGTTTTTAGTCCTAACAATCAGTGACATCAAACATCAAGTATGACAGAGGAAATTCGTTACCGAGATGCTTAGCATCGTTGGTTTAAATTCGCCTGTTTCAAACGCTTTGGTGATTCGCAAGAGTTATCTCCCTGTAAACGCAAACCTTACCTTAATTGCCTATGAATTCCTTTGATCAACATTAGCCGGGTGATATTTATTTATCATAAAAAGCTAAATAATATGTTAAATGATCAACATTTTCATATTGTTAAACAGTTTAAAATTTGTTGATATATTTGTTGGTGTTCGACAGGGATGCAACCTCGAATTAACCATGAGTACTAAAATTTACATTTAGAAAGCCAGTGCATGAAATAAAATGAAATAAAGATGTAACATTTATATCAGTGATATCGGAAAGAATGCCTTTTGTAGACTCTTTGAACCAAATTCCAATTACCCTCGGCTGAATTGTCCCCGGAAAACATATCTGTTTTTGCGTCAGACAAAACGCATGTTCTTTCAAAACCTTAAGATAAGACAGGTCCTGTAGGTGTTGATAAGAAAAAAGATATCTCCTTGCTCAAAGGCCCTGAGTGCCGAGTAAAATTTGTAGCTCTCCACTGGCAAGTGGACTCGTCTCCATATGAGTGAAAAATTATCGAGAGGGACGTTCAACAACATGCAATCAATCAATAATATATAGTGTAGAGTACTTCTTGCTAATGTTTTCTAAAACATATCATTAAAATATATATCATTTCAGAAATTATCACAGTACTTATGTACTAATGTTAAACAAATTTCATTCAGAGCAAAACATATTCAGACTAATAAAATTAACTATTCACAAATGTATGTCCGTCAAGCTATTATCAGAGAAATATATATTAAACATACCTTCGCATTTTTCTCCATCGAAATTTCCTTTGCAGTCATTTATACAACCCCCATTTCTTATATCACAAACGTCATCTGCACAATTGGTACTGCACGTCATATTACAATAAATACCCCATGTTCCATTTTTACAGCCAAAGTCACAACTTCCTGTGGTTCTATTACATATGCCGCCATTGCAATGTTCTAGACAGGTATGATTACAGTTATCCCCCCAAAGATATGTATTGCACTCATCACAGTATCCGGTCGTCCCACATTCTCCATTACATTTGATGCTGCAACCTATAACATATCAATTTCTTTATAGATAATGCAATGCATACTCATTTGTACGTTTGATTTTTGCTTCATGCATATGTAAGTTGAAGAAAACCCCTTAACAATTCATACTTACCGAATATCTCGATTTCACAGATTTCTAGAATTGGTCCTGTTGATTTCGTTTCATTACCAAAATAATCATTCTGTAGAGTGACATATCTCGCAACAAATGGATAAGTTACATTAATTATGCTTGGAGGTATACTGGGGAGCGTTGTATTGTCCTTGTAACATCTGATCCTCTCAGTTTCTGACGATCCTTTTATAGAAGAATTGGATACATCAAGATAAAAATATCGAAATCGATATGGCCTCCAATTACCTATTCCTAATATTAAAGAAAAGGTATGTTTTATGTTAGAGATGTGGACACCCGTATTTTCAGCCGCAGGTAAAGAAAGAACAAAAATAAATAAATAAAAGGGTAAAATACGACCATTAGCATTTTGAATGTAAAATTACGATAGATGCATTTCCTTAAAAAATAATGTTTTCATCTTCAAAATGTTGTTTAATTGTTTACATAATTAAACCAAATTGGAAATATTTTTAAACATGTACAAACACGAGAATCTTCACAAGTGAAAGCTTGGAATGAGAAGTAAACCAACATACAATGAATCGATCAGCTATATATCGATCAAAGTTTTACCGAAGAATTTTAATTTGAATTCAAAATTGCTCGAATTTATGTTCTCCAGTTTATAATACCATACACATTTTTGAAACTCAAAACTGATAAATATCTAGTACGAGGGTCGTTAAAAAAATACTCGACAATTTTTTTTTCTCCTTACATAATTTTTACAAGGTTTTTAAAGATCAACACATTTTCATATGTAAAAAAAATTACCGTGTCAATACATGAAGTTTCATTCTATTTGATTAAATGGTGTTAGTGTTTGCAAAAGTGAAAAGCAACATGTTTTATTACCGCGGAGCACGGTTAATAACATTGTAACGTCAAAAAGGAATGTCAAGAAAGTTTTCAAAATCAATCTTCTCTTCTTTTCACTTGATACATGGTTTGTAGCGCCTTCCTCATTTATAAAAACGTAACAATAATATTGAAACGTAGTTTTCAAAAAAAATGTTCAAGTAGCTTAAGTCAGATTTTCAATGTTTTGAATTCTTCACAGCATATCTCTTCTTCCAGTAGTTCCGCAACAGTGACGCGCACATCACGTTTTATTACAAAACTTAACTATTTTGACAAGATTTTAAAATATAATCCGCTTTTTTCAGCGACAGTTCATCGTCCGATTCAAAATCTCTACCACTGAAACTTTGTTTATCAACATATATACAATGCACGCCTTTTTAGCAAGAATATATTGCCTGGTTCCTCCAGCATTTTAAGAGTTAAATTTAGAGGTTTTCCGAACGCAAAACAAATTATTTTGCTACTCACTGCTCCATGACTTCCTTGAGCATCATTGTTTTTTTTTCTCCTTTTAATCAAGTCTATCCATCTTTAGAAACTGACATATTTTAAATGCATTTAACTACCCTTTGGATTCGGGTAATATAGAACATTGGTAAATATAAAATTTGAGTTTTATTTAATTCATGCGCAAATCACATGTATTTAAAGTATTGCTATAAACCTTATAAAGTTTATAATTAGTAAATAACTCAATTTTGATCCTGCTCGTTGATTCCATTTTTCTATAAATATCTGATAATTTTTATAAATATCGAGAAATATTCCAATATTTTAAACTCAAAATTATTTGAATCTATTTTAAAATTTGTGTCCCAGATTTGGTTACAATATGACGTTGAATAAAAAAGTTATGACAAAAGTCTACGAATTTTTGGTATGACCCCTGTACATATGTATATTTTTGTTTTCGAAATACATAATGATATGAATCTTAAAAATAATAAGTTTTGATTTTAAAATTTCTTAAGTTTCATAATTAACCATAGAATTCAATAGATTAAGTTTAATCTACAATAAGAATCATATAGCTTGAATAAATTTAAGTATTCCCGAAAAAATACATTTCACGTTTACTCCATGTTCAAGGACGCTCTAAACACTGCACACTAAAGAGCTCTATTTATTGGGTAGTTTTATGCAGTTAGAGTGATCTGCCATTAGATGTAAAATTAAATAAAATTTTATTTACTGTTAATTACATAATTTATAATAGATTACAATATTTTTTGCATAATATAAGACCAAGAGTAAGAATTTCATTTAATTATTTTCATTAATTTTCCATATGTAAGTAAACAAGAGTGATTTCTGCTAACAAGTAATTTATTGTCTTTGAACATTTTTCCTGCGCAAATAAAGCACGTACATTGTACCCTATGTTTTTAAATGAATGAAAAAGTCTCAATATGCATATCTTTGTAGATATTTTTCTTTGAGTCCAAAAAAAAACAGTTTTCTATCAGTGTTTACAGCTTCCTTAAACAAGCGAGCGCTGTAATGAATTTATTTCCTTCCACCATCTGTTAAAAGGATTCATCGTCAGCATTTTTTATTGATGAGCATGCCTAGATACGTGTAGGTCAACCATAGCTATTAATTCAAAGAATTATGAAATGCTCGTTAAATCGAAACTCCAAATAAACCCACTCTTACTGTTTGAGAGTACCTAAATTGAATCTCGGAAAATAAGTATCCCATGCCTAATAATTTTAGCCCGAAAAAAACTCATGATACCTTTAGTTATATAAACCCGGAAACTTGTAGTTTAATGATACCATACACTTCAAATGGCACTGAAGAACGAAAATATGACTTAAAAAATAGAACTCAGTGTAAAGATAACTCACTCCTCAGTTATCTTTGAAATTTCATTTTATTTTCGGCCAGGAAAAGGATACTTTAGATAGGGTCAAATTGTTTCAACGCACAAGCAGGGGCTACCTTTCTGCACAAAGTTTGAATGACATGCACGTAATCAAACAATCGTACAAATCCACATAACAAATCTTGTGTACATTGTACTTCCTTATAATGAATGCAGTTGCGGTACATATGTAAGTATTTAGTCCTTGCTTCCTCTAACAGATCTTTTAAATCACGTTTCCAGTATTTGATGTCACATGCAACATTTTTTATTACATAGAAAACATCAAAATCTAAGTATCATCATGGTGTAATTGTTTATGTGCAACTTTATTTAATCTTGCACAGCAGACCACAAGACTGTAGAAGTAGTAGTAGTTATGATTATGGTGGTAGTAGTAGTAGTACTAGTAGTTGTAGTCGTAGTTGTAACAGTTGTAGTACTGGTAGATTACTGCTTGCAAAAGCAAACGTTGTCGTCTTTAATTCTGTTGATTTTATATAATATTACCTTCATCTCTGTAAACTATCCTTATTGTTTGAAGACTAAAAGGTTCTCCTAAATCAACTTGAAACCAAGCCTCCGATTTGTTAACAGCTGTGTGGGCACAAGAATTTTCCTTTCGTGTTGTGTTCCCATCTATTCCATATTTAGCATATCTATTGGTATAGTCTGAACTCTGTGACACGAATGTCGTATTTCTTCGACTTAAGTTTTCTATCAAGAAATTATATATTATTTGAAATCGTGTACTTAGTCAACTCTCTCTCTCTCTCTCTCTCTCTTACAAAACTCTTTGCCATAGGCGAGAAAATATCAACGCCATATTTTATAATTCATGCAGGGATGGTAAATGATCGAACAATGAATATTGATCTAAAAGAGAAAGAGTCTCTAGATTTTATCCTGGTATGCATATTTGAAAAACATAAATCATTCAACTAACAGATCGTATTGCATTTTGAATAAAAACGATGTATGAATATATAAGTTGTGTTTGCCATTGAAATTTAGTATAAAGTTTTGATTTTGTTTCTACAAAAAGACCATTTTCATATAAAGTAGCATATTACGAATAATTTATAAAACAAAATAAATTAATAAAATTATTTTACACAAAAATTTTAGATATAGCAAACGTTTTGTGAACATTTTCTTTTATACGTACTCCAGTTATATCCATAAAACAAATGTGATACATTAGTATATTAGCCTATATTTAATATATATTCATTTATCTCATTTATATTCATATCCCTTTACATGCATATGTAGGTTTTTACTATAAAATGAGTTTTTGGGAGAATGAAATATTTCCTACAAAATCTAAGATTTGCTGTCGAACAAAATCATTTCCTTTTCGTAAATACTTAAAATACTTACCATACCCGCTGACTATGCTTACGGTGTATAACAAATGCACCAAAGACTTCAGAAACATTTTCAAAAAAAGAATGGAATATGAATAGGAATAGTTTAGTTAATCCAATTTCTTTCCAATATAAATTGTACGCGCAACAAAATGAATTTTATAAATATTCAGAAAACACTATATTTTTTTCATCCTCAAATATAAATAAAAAGGGAAGCAAAAAAAAAACCCCAATAAATTGAAATAAAATGCAGGTTACTCTGCTTCCTGTGCATGCATATATTTTGAAAAAAAGTAGAATAAGTAAAATTAATAGGACTCCCTCTCACTATCTCACTATCTTATTTGCTCGCCTTTAAAAATATACGAGGGTTGTCCCAAAATTTCGTAGACTGAGCTCATATCTTTTAAAGAAATTAATGTATCTTTATAAAATTTTCAGGGTGGATAAAGCGTGTTCTTGGCAGATAAATTACGAAGTTTTATCATGTTTACTTGAAAACTTTTCGAGTAATAACATTTAAAGTGATGTCATTCTTTAACACCCGGAGCAATCTGCAACGTCAAAAAATACAAATGTCAACAGTTCAAATTTTTAGAGAAAATATTTCAATTACCAAAATCAAATTCTTAAATTAAACGAAACGGTTATAGTTATAAATGTGAAATATCTTAATTACTATGATATGATCAAACATTAAAATATGTAAACAAAGTATATGCATGTACAGGTATGAAATAACATTAATTTGAAAACGCCACATTTCTACGGGCTTTTCGTCTGTTTTCTCTAAGGGCGTTGCACGATGCAACTCTGGCCCATTTCTTAGCCCCGTCTTTTATTTTAGCTTCTGTTATTCACATATACATAGAGAAACCGTTTTGTTCATTTTAGATACTCAGGATGAGAAAAAGTTTCCTAGTCTACCAAACCGTTATGACTGGTACCTTTTTGTAAGAGTATGTTCAGGATCAAAACACTTGATCATAGTCCAGTGCGCCGCCTGTGCCAACGCAGCCGCCATTTTTCAGAAAGTCGGATTTCAACCTCATGTATATAAAACGTTATAAAAATCATATTTATCAAAGCTTAAACACCAAAATTATGGGAAATGTAGTTAATAGAACAGTATTAAGAATTTTCATTTCCATTAAAAAAATACAGTGTAGTAATTACTTTTCCGTAGGATTTTAAATATAATATACCAAATTGTAATTGCAACTCTTGGGTATTGCGCCGCCCACCTACACCAGACAATGAAATGTGTCTTTTAAATTGGAATAATTTGAGTAGGTACTCCATATTTGTCCATAAATTTATTAGATAGTGTTGGTTTTATCTATATACGAAGTTTCATTAATGTATGACATAGGGTTCCTACAAAACAACGCTTGTCTACGGAATTTTGGGACAACCCTCGTATATATAAAGGTTTCGCGATCGTAAACTTTGTTTTGGAGTTTTCTCATATCCATCTGATTATGCATAAACAAATAGACTGCTTATTTAAAAAAAAAAAATAAGAATGAAGAATAAAAATGAAGAAAAAATATATTTATTGACTTACATTATTTCATACAGTTAATCTTTTGTATATATCGTTAAGATTTTGGGACCTCTGAATTATTATTTGATTTTTCTTTACTTCGAACATGTAATAAGAGAGAGAGAGAGAGATTATTACTTGATCTGTTTTACATTTTTTTTTCATTTAAGAATACGAACATAACCATCATTTAAATTAATGATAAGTAATAAATAAAGAGAATTGTAACTTTCATAGCATAACAACAAATACATCTGAGTAAAACTCCATTCCAACACATCCATATCGAAAAGGGAATTTAAAACCTACGGAAAATATTGTGTCTATAATGAGCACAAGAATACCGTTTTTTACCAGAATTTCTGAAACTTGCTTTCAGTGTACACCCTGAGTTTTTGAATTTACTCAAACTAAAAAATAGGACAATATTCCACAGGTTGTATATCACTTATTTCATACATTTACTTTATTTTATGAAATGAAAAAGCTATCCTAAAAAGCCTCTTCAATAAAAAAAAAAGACCCACTGTGGATAACACAAAACGAACCAAAAAAGTCAACAAATTTTGTTTCCAAGCTCGTCAAGCCTCTTTTGTAAAAAAAGATGGACGAATATCACGCAGGGGTAATAAGGAAGCATACAAAATATTCTACCGTGACTTAATCAGTGCTACATTATGACTTCATAGTAGGCGAGATAACGTCAATTTTAGAACACAAGATTTCGTTTTATTGGTGTTTGATTGATTGATTTATATTGTTTAACGTCCCTCTCGAGAATTTTTAACTCATACGGAGACGCCACTACTTGCCGGTGGAAAGCTGCAAATTTTGTCCTATATTCGGCACTGAGAGCCATTAAGCAGGGAGGGTTCTTTTTCGTGCCAGCACCTACTGCGAAACAAGACTCTGTTTATACGGTCTCATCCGAAGGACCGGTCTCCACGTTCCACAGTGGGATTCGAATCCGCGATGTAAGGATTCACTCCTTACTTCGCGACTCTAAAGCAGACGCTCTAACCACTGCTCCACGCGGGCGACTATTGGCATTTAGAGATGTAATTTAACTCTAGAAAATGAATTGAAGCGTGAACATTAACAAAAATAAAATGTTTTTATTTTGTTATACCATGTCTGTCATTTTGAATAAAATCTACCAATGATGACATCATATGTTTACATCAAGTAACTTGGGAATTGATCATGTCGTGTAAAGAGAATTTGGCCAAGACGGCATGTACAAAGATAGGTAAAATGGAGCGTAAAGGCAAATATCGTGAATATTATGTGAAATTCATATGGAGTTCGGTTTATTAAACAGGTATTCTAATTTATGTTCATCGATTTTATAGCTATATTTGTATCCCGGTCGGCCTTTCCTCTGTCATTCGTGACAAAAATAATGAAACAGAAGAATAATAAGCTGGATATTTCAAAACATAAGATTAATACAGATGGAAAGTCTGCCATCTGACATTTGGAAAGTGCTGCTAGAATCCCGAGGTAAGCAAAGCTTTACGAAAAATCTCGGTTCCTATGTATAAAATTCAAAACATAGGTCAAGGTTTCGGGCAAATTTAGGAAAGAATTATTTTACTGAAAGGTCAATGTGATTCTAGCTGCACTTTTAAGACAAAATGGGTGTTTTCAACTATATAATTTACTCAAAGGAATTATTAAACTCCGGGGGTATTGTTGTAATGTTAGCTTTTTATTGAGGAAAATTTTGCTTTGAATAGAAGTCACGTGAAGTCATGGCGCTAGTGCACGTCTTTGCGTTAGACACTCTTTTATCTGTATGCAATAGTTAATAACAGTTTATATTTATCAGCGGTTTGGTAATTTATCAAGCTTAAAATTTTCATTTAAAAGTCTAAATTTCCTGAGAAATGACTTATATGCCTCTTCAACATACCCACGTATGTGTACGTACTGAACAAGGAAGAAAAATATATTCGAATTTTTTTTCAACATTTTCTTTCCGTTCCTTCATTGTTTCTGTGCCTTACAATACTTGAATATAAAAGATTTTTTATCATCAGATTTAGTACAGAAACTGCATTAGTTGTACAAAGTCTAAATTGTAATATTGTGTAAAAAATACAAATCAACGAATTGTTTCCAACAATTATTACACATGAGGTTTATAAATAATATGTTATTCGTTAATAAAAGTGAGTGTATAAAGAATGTAGAGTAAACAAATGAATAAAAATCCTAATAAATAACAATTACATACCATAGCAAAAAGTACATTTAGTTACTAGAATCCAACAAATCCACCAGAGTAGATCCATTTTGAAAGAGGAAATAAAACAATAACTCGAGAAAATATTGTACTTAAGGGTTTTTAAAATGTTGAATGTCTATTAACCTCATTAAAACGCATTGCAATGTTTAATTTCCTTTTTAATATAAGGAAGAACACAGTAGATCTTCAGAAGATGACATAAAAAAGCACCAGTCCACTGCAATAAAATTAATCTCATATTACTCATATCAGCAGTTTAAAAAGTCTTATTTTTCAAGTGTTGCTTTAGATTGGTCAGACGCATTGAATTTATCATAACTCCGAAAGAAAATTCAATGCAATCTATTTTATCAAGAGTTAATTGATTGTTTGAGTGTTTGTATATTGTTTAACGTCTCTCTCGAGAATTGTTCACTCATATGGAGACGCCAAAACCTGCCGATGGAAAAAATCAAATATTGTCCAATACTTGGAAATCACGATCATGGTCATTGAGCAGGGAGGGATCTTTTTCATGTTAATATCTACTGCTACATACGGTCATATCCGAAGGACTGGTTTCTACGTGCCGCAGTGGGACTCAATCCGCGACGTAAGGATATACACCTTTTTTCACGTTCAAACCACTGCACCACGCAGGCATAAATGATGGTATAATGTTGAATTTTGAAGGTTTCACGTGATAACTTTTTCCAACCCCATAACGTTAAAATTTTACAAAATACAAATGAAATTTATAAAGTGATAAAAAAAATTTTGAAAAATTTGCGGTTCTCCGGGTCTCAAATCCTGCAATCATCTGTAGGTGTTTATCCGATGTCTACGCAAAATTTTGATACTGCTCACTTCTCCACCTATTTGTAAACCGTCCCTTATTAAACGATTGCAATCCGTCTTTATAAGATCAGAATTTGATTGCTAAACTTTGAATGTTCAAATTTTGAATTTTGAAGGTTTGATGTGATAACTTCTGTCAACCTCAGAACGTTAAAATTTTACAAAATACAAATGAAGTTTATAAAGTGATAAACAAACAATTATGAAAAAGAACTTTATTCGGTAGTTACCGATATTTGCCCCCCAAACCAAACTTTAATGGAGAAATATCTAATTATGTTCTTACATAGGGGGGTATATGCTGACTTCAACGCACTGAATATTTTCATAAGTAATGACGTCATATGTATGAAATGACGTCACAAACATGACGTAAATTTAATTTTTTTTTTAATGAATTCTACAGAAAAATGTACATATTTCGTCGATATTTTGAGTAAAAGTCACCGAGCGCATGTGTGTTC